TAGTTCCGAAGAGTTAGTTTCCAAAGAGTACATATTATTTTTTTTATATCAAGTGACTGGAAGAACAAGCCGTGCACCTGGTAGTGAATAACACGTCTGTCTCTATAGACAGTTGCAGAGCCACTCAAAGCTTGAAATCGCAAAGATCTAAGGGGCAAAGTTTCAAAGTCGTATAAGGTACGTTTCCCCCGTATGTACATACCACGCGAAAATGATAATAGAAATAGTTGAAAATAATCAGTATGTGCTTTTTTTAGTATTCAATTATTTATGTTTTATAAATACATTAACCACCCGACCGGCAGCTCAATGTACACCGAACTGTTCATGTATAATGTAGAGTAGGTTCACCATTTATTGTGTGACATTTAGTTCACAGTTCTACTCCCAAGGTTTGTATTTCGGTAGCATGAATCATCGCTTAAATCGGCGATGTTCGTAGTAATAGCCAAAGCGTACCTAATAGTGCAAACTGCAGTTTACTTAATACATCTGTGCTTCTCCAAAGCAATAGTTCCGACTATCGAATTTCTCATAGTGCAAAGTCGGCCCGTTTGTGCATGTATTCAACCGATTAAGTGTGAATATTTAACCATTATAAGTTTCCGGAACTGGCCACTTATACATTATTATTTATAGTATTTTATTCTTATTCATTCCGGAACGTTGAGTGTGCGCGTCATTAATAAAATAAATGCCTATTAGAACTTTTCACGTCTTCAAGAACTGTAACATTTTTTATTTGCGCCTGGTTGTAGTGTGAAACTACGGACCCCTATCTCTCTCATTATATGTTTTCTAGCAAACGCCCTTACTTTTCCTGTTTTCTGAAAGAGTTCCAACTAATAGTTACTATAACATTAGTGTCTAAATTACTTAAACTTGCTATTATAAGCTATTTCTCGCACTTTGAAAGTTTACTCACTTTTCATGTCTGATCTCGAGGTCTTGGTATATTCTATCGTACTGATACTATCTCCGAATTTTGCTATTCGTTTTTCCAACGCTAATTACGTACTATTTCATCAATTTCATTGCAGGCATCTGGTCTTCACCAGATCTAGTACCAAATATACGAAGTCTCACCTTTAGCTCTCACCGAAGCTCTACACCTGGCCTTACTCCTACCGCGCTTACGCGCCTATCTGATGACCAGTTCCTCGATTGCCTCACGCTAAACTTGGTCTTCACGTTTACGCTCCTACCTGGACTGTGTGCCTCACCTTCACCAAGCGAGTTTGGAGCGGCAGGAGTACGAAGCCGATGCTCAAGATGAAGTAGAACTCCACCTCAAGTACAAAGTGATATAATCCACTGCGGCTCTACCACTGCCGTCTTGTCGTCATTCCTCGCTGCCCTCTGGTTCCACTCTACAGCCGCTTACCTCCTGCTTACAACCTCGCTGCTCTTTGGTTCTGCACCTCTATCCTCAGTCACCAAGTGTCGAGGGCAGAGGCCTCCAACTCCGTGTCTCCATCGTCTTATATCTTCACCTTCACACTACACTTACATTGCTCACTCTACCACGTCCTAACACTCTAAGTTTCTTTCCATCCCGACCTTCTAGCTCCCCACATGGTGTTAAGCGATACACCGTGTCCATAGCATTTCCACTCAAAGCTTTAGTTCGCAAGACGCTGAGTGGCACTGCCACTGTGCTTGTCGCCCTGAGACATAAGTTGACAAGTCCAGCAGGCTATTTCACCAAAATTTATTTTATTAATATATTTTCCTTATTATTGAAATAAATAACGAACCATTTCCTGATCTGTAAAGAGCCGGAAAAGTTTGGTTAGTTAGAAAAAACGAGTATATACGCGATTTTATGTCCGAAAACAATGTTCCATTTCCCAATGCGTAGCAAACTCGAAAATCTAAGAACTCACGAACTACCAAAGAAGTAACAAAATAATAAGATATTCGATCTTTGTGTTAATAAATTAATTATAACAAATTCACAAAAAATAACCGAATATCATAACATTACATAGCTGTAAAGATACCTGGCTGAATGAAGAAAAACGTTCATAAGTTTTTCACAGATGGCACTATGGCAAAAGTCATACCTCTCATACCTCCAACTTTTGGGATCAGAGTGTGGAATTTCCTCACTAGATGTGTTCGACGATCCCCTTCTCTTGATTCTTTCAAAACAATGTGTCAAGTATCACTTCTACTCCTAAGTTTCGTTTTCTTTTCAGTCGCCTGTTGCACATTACCTTACAATTATTGTAATTAACTTACTGTTCTTCATATCAACGAACTGTAAAAATAAAAATTTCAAATTAAAACCTAACTACGACAACAAAGCACGTACGTACAAGCAAGTATATTCTAAAAAAATTAAAACAAAAGCTAAACAGTATTTTAAATTTTCAGTTATATAAGTACACGGGCTTTGAAACAAGATTTAAAACAAGACAATCTCTGAGCAAGTCGAATACAGATTATTTCGCTCTTGATTTAAACTTTTTAATTTCAGTACAGAGTCAAGCTTGTCATGAACTTAAGGTTTGAATTCAACTCAAAGTCACTTGTTGTAAGAACTGTCCAAAGTGTCATGCTTCACGGATTAATATACATAAGTAGTTTGTCTCAATTGGGTTTAAGTTTTACCGTATTTTTCAAAGTCAAAGTCAATAAATCATTTGTTCCAGTTAAATAAAGTTACACTTGAAAACGTCATTTTTAAACAACTGCTCATTCACTGTGCTGACTTCCCTAAGAAGGACGAGCATAATAATAAACTAGGGGTTGCTCTTTTCAAATAAAGTTAAATGCTATGGAATACACTTTGAATATTTGTGTGGAATCTAGAGCCATGTCGTCTTTCCACACATCTATAAATAACACGTAGTCTTCAATTTTGTAATATGACTTTTCAATTAAAATACCTACTTTTAATAAATAAAATAACAAAATAAAATAAAAAGACTTTATTCTTCAACACTACAACGATACATAAAAAACTTAAAATAAATGGCTGTGTTGAAGAAAATGTAACAACCTCAGCAATTTGCTGGTTTTCAGGCTTCACTTTGTGTTACAATGTACAACTACAAGTGAAGTATATTCGGCGCTGTAGACACTGCAGTACGCAGTTTCTAATTAAATATATAATTAAGAAAGCGCCTCACTCGCTGTTATATAGTATAGAAACCAAACTACAAATGTAGTCGCAAAAAAGCACCATGCAGCAAAAAGTGTAAAAAACGTTTTAATTTTATTAAGTATAATTATATCTATATATTTTATTTATTATATTAACCTAGCAGAACCCACTACCCTTTAACTAACAGGACGAAGTCTTCCGTTGTTTCAGCAGCCGTACTTTATACATATATTTGAATGTATATAATGATTTGCATGTTTTAATTGGCGGTAGAAAATCGTTCCGACATTTAGAATAGTGAGTTTTAAACCTAAGAAATGATAATCTCAATGTAATATGCTCCGCAATCTTATGGAAAAAACGTAAGTAGGTACATGTACACTTCCCCTTAAAAGAATCATTTAATAATCATCTTTACATTAGATAAATGAAATCGTAGAAGGTGCCGTGAGTTGGGATTTTTTCTTTCTAGTTTGGATTTTGTTTTCGTCAAGTAACCTGCCATCGTAATATAGCCACTAAATAGGTAGGTACTTTACGGTAAGTAGTACCATCGTCTACGTAAAGTATAGCAGGCCTAAGAAACGCTAGCATAACGCGTCCGTAAACCGTTCTGCTCCAAATCAGTTAGCGGTCAAGCGGTCACATTAGTCTGAGATTTACGGCCACCCTACTAAGGCATTGTGGTACTATCAACTCAAATCAGAGAACTATAGCTTTCGAATGAGTCTAATCATCATCACAAAATCTATACTGTTCTATCCTTTGAACATGGGCATAATACCATCTCACCCTGATCTCGCAACTGAGAGTCATCCCACCAATTTAATGAGTTTATTATTCATTAGGGTTTTATTTTTCCGCATTATATTTCAATTCAAAGAAAGTAAGTATTTTTCAGTGAATTTTAATAAATAATAATAAATAACACATACCCTCATAACCCACACACACATAGACAACCACAAATTACACCCAAAGTCACGAGAAAAATAAATGAAGGACCTTGCGTGGCAAACCAGTATGGTGGACGAACGACCACGGAAGCAGTTAAAAAATAAACACTATAGAAAAGTTATATAGTGGTGCACTAATGTACCGAGTACCTTACACTTGCAATTGATATTATTTCCTAATTAGGTAAGTATGTCTCTACTCCACTCATTGTTGGATTTATTTTGTATGTAGAATGTTTTCGAGAAACAATCGTGCAATGTCACAACGGTAGCTGTTTTGCTTACTCGTGAGCTCTCTGGGATTAACATGATCATTAAATATCTGCGTAACAAGAAAGCCTTTAATCCAGGGGAACATTAGACTTTGTTTTACACTGCCTTACAGTTTTTTTTATATCATTTATGTAAGGTATCATAAGTTTAGTAATTTGTTCACTTGTGTTTGGTTGTTAAGCGTTGATTATTTTAAGGTTCTGGTTTCTTTGTCCTCAATTTAAAATGAAAATAATGATAATAAACAAAAACACAATTGTTTTGGTTCTACACGATATATTAATTAGAGCGTGCCGCTGTTGGACAATGTTAATAAATTTTAGCGCCATCTATTCGAAATCTAAGAAACTATCACAAACTGTAGCTAACGAAAGAACCATTCTGTTTAGGCAACATGGTATATTTACGTATCTTTTATTTGTTTGTGAATATGGCAACAACCTATAAGCAATGAAATTGTGCAGAATAACGACATCTCGTGCAATGTTTTTGAAACTTTGACTGAAGTTGAAACAAGCGAATAATTTGCTAATATTATTTGCGCTAAATATTATTCGCTAGAAGTTTCCTTTATAAAAAATTATCTATTTTTTTTTTTTGTGTTCATTAAATTTTTTGGTGTTCATGTTTATAATTTACATTGGCAACTCCAGTGCCGGCCGGCGCGCGGGGCCACCTTCCGGCTGTCATTCTCGTTATTTTTCATTTCGCGGTGACGTCTGTGAGGCGTGAAAAGCGTTCCATCGGTTCCTCTTTGTGCAACGCCGATTTTAATTGTAAGTTAACCAATTTATTAACAAATATTTCATACTCAACAACCATGCAAGTGTAGTGATTAATTATTTGTATGCAATTGTTTAATTATCTGCATGGTATATAATATCTAACACGTTTCCGGTACCAACCTTTGTCGTCGGTGAATGGGAAGATTCATCTAGAGAAATCCGACCAAGCACTGCTTGTATTGAACCTTGACATTCTTCAAGCATAGCTTAACGGTGAACCCGTCGAAGCACAACTACTTAATTATTTTCCTTGAAATTAGTTCGCCAACTTGTGATGGATGAGAGTAATGTGGTGATGAAACATTTGCGAAACGACGTTGAAACTGTTTGAAATTAATAGGTACAGAGTACTTATTAAAATGCTTAGTGGGTACGTACGGTATTTGTAAATAATGTTACTGAGTAAAATGTTGAATTTCGCAAGGATTTCCGTGATGGAACCAGAGTTGTACAGTAGGAAAAGACTGCGCGTGTCTGATGGTGGAATGAATGGCAACTTAGCTAAGAAGTTACTACCGGAAAGGTACGGCTCCTTGATTTTTGTGGTGTAGGGCTCTGCATGTTGCAGAAATAGGGAAAATGCATATTTCATTAGGTCTTTTATGTTATTTATTTAAATACCTACCTTCAATATTTTGTATCACGTTTCCCACTGTGCAGGAAGAAGTTTGGGATTGCTCAGATAAAAGAAGTATTTTACTAAAAATAATCTTTAAAATTTTGAACTTAGTCACAAAAATTTATCATGAAACTTTTTTTTAATAATAATGATGCACACACTCAACAGTTTATTGTATTTTAGAAATTTTGGCAACATTTATTCCTACTTAAAATTAACTGAGTTCTAATTGATTAATCACATGTTGCTAATTGTTTTTCAACGCTTGCTTGGTTTGTTTGTTTATGCATGACAAAATTGGACGATTTGCATGATAGTTCAGTCTAAATAAGGTTGCATGAGAAACCTGAAACATTTTTTCCTTGATCATAATATATGTACCTACTGTTATTTTTTATGACTCTTTTTTAATTTGAGAGCTCTAGGAACCTGGTACCCTAAGTAATACCAGAATTTAAATTTTATCCTAACAAAAGGGATTGCACCAGCAGTGTAATAGCACTGAAATATGAAGATGATGAGTACAATACAGTGTACTATGCAGACTATTGGAGGTTTTACGAAGTGAAACAAAACAATGACACTTATTTTTCAATACTTAATTGCTTTTAGAATCGCAATGCAAAGTCGTAAACCACCACAACAGCATATCTAATTATTCCTACAACTTAATAATTAAAGCAATACAACCTGAATTTCACTGATCCAACCAGGTCAAGTTATTTTTACAATGCTGTACTGCGCACTGTTACTCTGTCTGCCTTCCAAAAACCATCTGTTATCTCACGAGCACCATTATAAATCGAATGAAGTGGTGCATTGCCGCCTTCACAAATTGAGGGACTTATTATTTCTATATTTATTGACTAGGTATAATCAGGAATTGACTAATAAATGTTAATATCTAGTTAATCATGGCTAACAGCAATAATCATAAAAATATAATTCATAATAGTCTTAATTATATTGTTCATAATCGCATTCTAAACATTGCCAAAACAAAAACTAAAACTTGAATCTTTAACTAAAAACTTTAGTCATTAAATTATATTGATCAATTATTGAAGGTAACTGAAATATCTGTAACACAGGTAATAATGTGCTCTTTCCTCTTGGCTCAATTTTAATTTGGAGGCTCTTGGAGGAAAAGTAAAGACCAGATATAATTTACGTACAAAGTAATTGAGTATATAATGAAACTGCATCGGAACTCAAATGTCCAGTGGCAAAAATCTCGTGTGTTGTCTACAGTCAAAAGCATATTAGGTTTATTAATATTTACGGGTAATGCTTTTTCGACACGTGACTATTCTCTAATTTTGTTTGGAATGTTACATGAAAACTGGTCTTTTGAAAATTTCAATCCCCTCAATGTTATTAATTCATGAATATTATTGTATATCTTTCTAATCGGTATTAAAAATATATGATAGATGGCGATTATTGTGGCTGTTCATTACGCCTATATTGATCTGTAATAAATAATATAAAAGAAACAACTAAGTTTGAATTAATGCAAACTTCTAATATAAGTAGGGTTGGAGGACTAAAGCACATGAGTCAAAACCAACATCATTCCTTTAAATAAATACATCTACTGACTAAAGCACATAAATCAAATTCATTTGTTACTTCCTTAATTTGTAACTTAAATTCCAGTGTCGTCTTTTTCAAATTTATTATTCTCTTCACATCTTCCTACACAAAAATATGTAATAATTATATATTGAAAAAGAAACACTTTTTTTTACTTATGTGCTGTTGTCCGCCGACCCTAGATTTATTAATGAACAGGTTATTTTTCCTTTACAATGTTTTACAAGAATTCTTTCATAAAACAATTTAAATATTTTTAGGCACATTTTAATTACTCGTTTAGCATTCATAGATCGAAAACTATTATACGTTATAAATATTAATGATACAGAAAAGGTGGTGTATATGTTTCTTTTGTTTATTAATACATACACACCATTCATTGTTAAAGAGCCAAATTAAGTGTCGAATTGAAATTGCATTTGTTCAAATATAAATAAGAATTGACATTGAAATAGTTTACGGAATGAAATGAGGAACCTATCATATTACAGCTAAGTTTATTTATATTAATCACAGTGACAAGTTGGAAATACATTACAAGTTATGCAAAAGAGTTGGAAATGAAAATTTTGTAATGGTAGTATAATATTAATGTTTGCTTTATGTGTTATGAAATGATAAGCATAATAGTTGTGGCTGATTATCTTGGTAATTTACTGGGATTAGAATGAAAGCTGTACATAACGATAAGTCGTAGAAAGTCTGCGTGCAGATTAGGGTTTATAATATATTACAACACTGTGGTTTTATTATTTTAGTTGTGTAATCTGATGTCTATTTAGAACAAATGATAAGCTCACTGCTTTGAATCTAAAATTAATTCATCTACAGCCTTGATGAAGCAATAAACTAATTAAATGTCATGCCTCAACTGTTGGCCATGTAAAGAATAGTGTAAAGTAAAAGAAACATAATGACTGAACTCTTAACAACATTGATCCTCCATACAATTGTCAAGTTGGAGACTCAAAATGACTCTGACAAATGAAGGTAATTACCAAAAGTAGAATACATATAACGCCACAAGACTAAAGACGAATTAAGGGCTATCTTATGTCTAGCACGTTAATAACAGTGAAAATTTCTGAGTATATCTTTCTCATGTGCTCTAGTTATACCCAGTGAGTTATTTCATCTGTCCAGTCAGTACAAATTGCCAAGTGTCAACTGCAGTCATGACGATGGAACACAAGTGCTACTGCCGCGGCGACGAGGTAGCCAGCTTGGATCTCACCAAGCCGGAACACCTCTTGCCTATGATGCGACCTTTCTCTATGAGGTTTACTTCAATGATTTTTGTAGTTACAATTGAGACTTATGGTAGAAGTTGAATGATAAGTAATTGTTGTTTCATTGAAAAAATATTACTTAGTACAGTGTTTCTTCGAATTAATAAAATTTATTGCCAATCACACATAAGACCTTAACATACATTGTGAGAGACTGAAACCTGTACTAAGATACTCTAATTTTCAGTATTTTGAAGTTGATTATTTAATTAATTGTTTAATATGGTGCAGAGTTCTATTACTGCTTTCCTGTTATTTGTCTATGACGAAAGCAGCACTTAATGTTTATAGCTTAGTAATTCATAGCGGGTTTATTTAATTCAATAGTAATTCTAGTTATCGCTTATATGTATACATTATTATGGTAGTGCTTCAAATTGTAGTGGTATTAAGATAAGTTTATATAGGTAATACTTTCAAGAATTTAAAGTGTTTTATCTATAAACTCACTCGGAAATATTAACTTTTCCTATCGATCAAGCGTTTTATATCTTGACAAGGCGAGGCTAACAATACGTTGTATTTTTATGAACTTATTAAATCATAAAACTTTCTATTGTTGAGGCATGATGTAGGTCATTTTGTTTCTTGCGGCATCCGTTCAAAGAGTTTATTAGTTTGTATGGTTTGATATTTGAGGTTTCTTGTTTACGTCATAAATTCGTGATTTTGGTTACGGGATAGTAAGGGCGCGTTCCCGTTATGTCTGACGTTTTATTTATCATTGGGACGACTGTCGCCTCTAGCCTGACACTCTGTCAACTAGCTGTTGTGATTGTGTCGATGTCGTGGACGTGTTTATTTTATCGCAGAAGTAAATTTTTATCGAAAATTAGTTGATGATTTTGGGTTAAATCGTCATGCACTTTCGATCTGTCTGAAGAGACGAAGTTTTGTTATTTGCCGAAAAAAAATTGTTTAATAAAATTTCTTGTTTTTCTTTTGTAAATTTAGTGGTTTGGCTTTTACACCCTTTCTTCCCGAAGTATCGAATTTTGTATTCTAGTTGCCTTCCATTAAAGTTCTATTGTAATACTTTGACGTAAGTATACTTTCACAAAATAATTGCAATGCTTGTTGTCAGTTACGGGGTCCTCGTCGGTTTCCACCTGGGACCACAATCTTTTCGAACGATTTACTGTTAAATTCACGAAATTATGACTTGCTTAAACGATGCAGAAAACCATGCTGATGGAACTTTTAGGGTCGTATTCTAGAACTCTACTCAATGCTCAAGTCAGGATTGCACTGGAAACACAAGCACTGGAAATCCGACCCTAATGGCAGGGACTTGAGTATGATTTCGAGTGCTTTAAACCATACTCAAATCCTGTCTTGAGCATTGCGTAGAGTTCTAGAATACGACCCTTAGAATACCTAGGTACTCTTGTATGACGTGTACAGTCCCAACCCTCATTGGCCCCAAAGTGGTTACCTATGACCTTAACTGTAGGTCGTTTATGTATTGGTGATGAATTAACTTC